ATTCTGCTACCCATTCACACAATCTCGTCAGATAGGTAGCTCACTGCTTTCTCTCTTGCACTCAGTATGCCCTGTGGGTGTTATGTTTACTAAGCCCTCTTTACTCATTATGTGTTTGATAAATGTCAGCCTTCTCTGCTTGATTTTGATTATAAGTGTATTTTTATACCATAATCATGTCGATAAGCAACACCACTTAATAGGATCCAAAAAGACATAGAACGGAATAATACAGTATACGTGGCTCTGTATTTAATTGAAATTATATTTTAATTATTTATAAATTGCTCTCATTGTGTATATGAAAAAGGAACTCGGCTTTTGCGTCGTTTCGATGTATAAAAGTACAGCAACCCACTTCTTAGAACAACCAGTACTATCCACACAATTGATTTCATTATAGCGGCGAATGCTTGTTGAAACCCAATTACACTTTCTGGAAGAGCCGAACTGCTGAGCATAGTGTGTCGAAAAGCCCCAAAACTAAAGGACGCTCCTCAGTTTTTTTAATTCAGAGTTGTCCATCAAGCCTATAAGACCCAGTTTGGCCTGCTATTTGCCAACAGCTGGTGGGAAGGAGAAGAGAAGGATTCATACCTTTCTAAGGTTATTTGCACGTAACTGAATGTAACGCCTTGAATATCATACACTGAACATCAGAGTAATGAGTAAAGATTTAAGGAAAACAGAAGCAAAAAGGACAATTACACATAGAATAAGAAAGAGACATTTGAAATTTCACTGGAACATAATGAAGGCTTGAAAAATTTAATTGACTGATTCGTTTTCGACGGATTATCAACCCTTTGCAATTTATTTAAAGCCAGATTATTTTTTTTTTAGATTACTTGCATTATTTACATTTATCGGACTGTTATCTTCATCTTCATTGCCATTTTCACAACGTTTCGGTCGTTGTACGCTCCGGCCTTCCTCAGGTGATTGTAATGTCGAACTGAACACTTTATTTCGTCCACCGGGGTGGATTGTTCTAGTTTCACGTTCCATGCCTCTTCCTGGTGTCTTGGTGATTTTCCTTTAACTCAATTCTCCCAATTTTTGGTTCACCACTGCTGCGGCCTGGTATTGAACTCACAACTCTTTGGATCTAGTCACTGGCTCTAACTAACGTCTTTATTCACTGGGCCATATGTCTTGGAGAATGATCCAGATCTCCGAAATTAAACAACATCCAGTCTGGTCAGTACCTAGATGGGTGACCGGTTCGGAATACCAAGTGCTGTCAATTTGAATGCGTGGCTGGTGTAATGGATAACGGCTCGAAATTGGAAATCGCAAAGCCGAGTTACATTTCTCTTTGGGTTCGTTATATTTACTCACGGGTAAATAGCCTTTGTTATATTTTCTTACGGATAAATAGCCTTCGTTATATTTTCTTACGGATAAATAGCCTTCGTTATATTTTCTTACGGGTAAATAGCCTTTTTTCACCGAAGCTATGGGTTAATTAATAGGACATGTATCACTAAAACATTATTATCTCCAAAAAATTCTGACAATCTAAAAATATTTTCTGACTTTAAATAACCGGCAAAATAATCGGCTTAAATAATTCCAAAACGTTTGATAAGCCGTAAAAAAACAAACACCTCAATAAAAACATCGCGCATACATACACACGCCCATATACGCACACACATACATATATATACACATATATACGATTTTTGAGGGAACCAATCTATTTTATTTTGTTTCCATTTAATGATACTGTTTTTTTTAATATTGAGTTGTTTTTTATCATTATTATATTTATGTGACGTTAAAGATATTATCATAATTGTTTTTTTTTTTTTTCATATATATAATCTGCAATCTCACATCTGTTGTTTTTTTTTCCTTTTCGTCTTCCATTATTTTTTTTAACCTTAAATAAAAGAACAAAAATATTACAAGACCATGGAAGACGGTTGTGTGTTTAACGCTGAAAAGAAAATTACTGACATGAGTGTGCAAGACGAAGAGAATTGTTTGAAGAAGATCATCAAGAGAAAGAACTCGAAAGCAGGCGAATATCTACCATAAAGAAGAAAGGAAATGGAGACAGCAGAAGAAATACGAAAAGAAAGTGAAAACAAAATGTAATGAGACGTGCAATGTGTAAGAAATGAAAAGCGGTAAATGGCGGAACTGTGTGAAGACCAGAAATTGGAGAGATTAAACAAGACTAAGAAGATAAGGAAAGAACGAAAAAATGTTCTAAAAGAAAAACAAGAAGAAAAAGGCAAGAAGAAAGATGAAAAACAAAGGAAAGAAGAAGAAAAAGACGACGAAGAAGAAGACGAAGATGAAGAAGAATAGAAAAAATAGAAAGAACAGAAAAATGGAAAATTAGTTGATAAAAGAAAGGAATGTTTTTGGAGAAAGAGAAAAAAAAGTGAGAACGAACAATATTAGAAAAAGAGAAGAATTCTTGAAAACAATGAAAAAATGAAAAGAAAAAGAAAAACATATAGGTGAAAAAGAGGTGAGGATGACTGGCATTATTATTGTCATCATAACGTTCGCCATTACGATTCTCATCGTTGGCATTTTGCTGAGGTTCTTGAAGTATTTCTCTTCATTCCCAAGAAAATTCTCATTGTTATTTTCTTTTGTCCTAAAACATTTACATGATTTTTTCAATCATGAAAGAATGTAATCACTGACATTCTAAAAAGATTTAAATGAAATTACATAAGACATTTTCGTTTTATTTCCTTCCAACTTCATCTTGGTATATTTGTTTGTTTGTTTCTTTCGTTGTTTGATTGTTTCTTTCTTTCTTTCACGGATTCATTCTTTTTTCTTTGCTTCTTTTCTTTCTTTATTTTCCTTAACTTCTTTTGCTTTTCTTTGTATGTTGTATATATTAGTTTGTTGTATGTTTCTTCACATAAAACATTTTCGTTTTATTATTTTTGTAGCCTCACCTTGTTTTTTGTTTTCTTTCTTTCAGTCTTTCTTTCTTTCTTTCTTTCTTTTACTTTTTTAAAAATTTCTTTCTTTTTTTTTTCTTTTCCCACACTAACAAAATATTTAAAAGAAATTACATAAGATATTTTCCCATTTACTTTCTTCTAACCTCATCTTGCTTTATTTGATTATTTATCTCATTCTTCCTCACATCCTTTCATAGTTTGTTTGTTACTTTTTTCTTTTCTTCCTTCTTTTCTTTCCTTCTTTCATTCAATCCTTCATTATTTTCTTTCCTTTTGTTGTTTGTTTCTTTTTTTCTTTCCTTCCTTCCATAAGTCATTTTTCCTTTTATTTTCTTCTACTTTCATTTCTTTCTTTTTATTTTTCTTTCTTATCTTTCTTCTCTTCTTTTATTCCGCCCTTTACTTCCTTACCTTTTCTTTCATTTTTTTCTTTCTTCTTTTTTTTTCTTTTCTAATTTTTCTCTAACACTAACAGAAAAAAGTTTTATAAGAAATTACATAATACATGTTCTTCTTCTCTTACACTTTTTCTTTCTTTCTTTTATTAATTTCCTTCCAAGGTAAAAATGGAGTTACATAATACATTTTTCCCACCTCACTATAGTTTATTTCTTTTTCCCTTCTTTATTTTTAATAATTCTTTTTCCACGGAAAACTAAAAACTTCAATGAAATTGTATAACGCTTTTTTTTTCTTCCTCACTATTTTTCATTCTTTTTCATTCTTTCTTCCTTTCGTTCTTTTTCTTTATTTATTTTTCTTTCCTTTTCTTTCTTTTTCTTTCTTTCTTTCTTTCTTTCTTTCTTTCCTTCTTTGCTTTTCTTTCTTTCGTTCTTTCTTTTACTTTCTTTTTTTCTTTTCTTTCTTTCTTTAATTCCTTTTCTTTTTTCTTTCTTTTTCTTTTGCTTTCTTTTTCTT